CTCTGGCGGCAGTGCCTCGAGGTGCGGCACCAGGTGCTGGATGATCCTCGGGGCGGTCCACTGCCTGCCTCCTCCTCCTCCTCCTCCTCCTCCTCGTGCTCCTCGTGATCCTCCTCCTCCTCCTCCTCCTCCTCCTCCTCCTCCTCCTCCTCCTCCTCCTCCTCCTCCTCCTCCTCGTGATCCTCCTCCTCCTCCTCCTCGTGCTCCTCGTGATCCTCCTCCTCCTCCTCCTCCTCCTCCTCCTCCTCCTACTCCTTGTCCTCCAACCTCCTTTCCCGCTTTGCCCTCCTCCCTCTCCTGTTGCTGTTCCTGTCACACATCCTCCTTCTCCTCCTCCTCCTCCTCCTTCTCCTCCTACTCTGCCTTGTCGTTCTCCTCCCCCTCCTCCTCTTCGTCGTCCTCCTGCTCCTGCTGCTGCTCCTCCTCGTCCTCGTCGTCAGCCCCAATTGTCATTATGAGCAACTCCTCGTAGTCTCACCACTGGACGCTTGGCCTGAGACTTGCCAACACTGGTGACATTGAAACTGCGAAACTCTTATCAGCTACACGGATGGAAGGCAGCTGCTGCTTAATATGTAGCTCTCGCTTTGGCACTGCACACATGTGCTGTAAAACAACCCAACAACTACAGGGAGGGAGGGCGTATCCTGTTTAAACTAAGACTCTGGCTTGAGACCTCAACTTTTATTGCCAGACGTATAGAGTGAATACACACGGGTTGAGGGCGGTTTTCTTCACGTTGAACGGTCAGAGGGGTAAGGTTGGACAACAGCTACACGGGTGTAGAGCGGACCCATTTCAAAACGGGGCCCTACCTCGTTGTTCAAAGGGGCTTCCGACGTGAACAGGGTTTCTTGCAGGGGCTTATGATGAAGGGACTTGGCAAGCAAGGGAGGGTGCACTTTGCAAGTCCCCGAACGACGCGGTGACGCATCGTGCGATGACCTCGGGATTACCCTGGCCACGCAAAGTCAACGCCCCAAGGGATTCGCCCCGGGGGTCGGGCAGCCCCAGTCCTCTGCCCTTGAGCTAGATGGCATCTCGCAACACCTACCAAAGCTGTGGGCCAGGACGCCAGAACTTTTGCTGCAGCGCCTCGCTGCAAGTATCGCGGAGACCTCGGGGCAACTGCCCGCCGCAGCTCCAGCAACCAAAAGCATGGTCGTTCAAAGCGACCCGCGGTCATGAACCACATTATATTCAGCATCGCACGCGCGAACAGTGCAACGGAAAGGTGGCCGCGGTGAGCGTGATGCGCGCCATAGTAGCACAGTGTGAACGACGGGAAGAAGACCTCCCGCGGTGGGTCGCGCTGCGCCGACTCGCCGCTGAGGCCGAGACGACGACGTCGAGCCAGTCAACTCTCGCGAGGCCGTTTGGGAGAAGCCGAGGCTAGCCCAGGCCGGGGACTGGCCCATCTGGCATCGACCCGTTTCAGGTTCCAGAATCACCCTGGAACCGCTCCAGGGTGAAAATTGGAACCTGAAACGGGTGATTTTCTATCTGGGCGCTCTCATGAGCCTTATGGGCCGCCTCTCGGGGATGGGGGGGAGTGTACCCGAGCCCCAAAAATGGTCAGTTTCCAAATGATATCTCTTATTGGGGAGCCTTTTACTCGCGGCTGGGCCCTCCAGCCCAGTGTCGGGAGCGCCCAAATTGATTTTCACCCCGGAACCGCTCCAGAATGAAAATCCATCTGCAACCCTCTCCCAACGCAGAACAGCGCTCTCGGGGATGAGGGGGAGTGTATCCGAGCCCCAAGAACGGCTATCTTCCGAATGAAATCTCTGATTGGGGAGCCTTTTTCTCGCGGCTGAGTCCTCCCGCCCAACGTCGGGAAGTCCCACGTGGATTTTCACCCCGGAACCGTTCCGGGGTGAAAATCCATGTGCAACCCTCCCCCAACGCAAAACAGCGCTCTCGGGGATGGGGGGGAGAGTGTACCCGAGCCCCAAAAATATCAATTTTCCAAATGGAAGATCTTATTTGGGAACCTGTTTATCGCGGCTGGGCCCTCCCGCCCAGTGTCGGGAACGCCCAAATGGATTTTCACCCCGGAACCGTTCCGGGGTGAAAATCCCTCTACGACCCTCCCCCAACGTAAAAACGACGCTCTCAGGGATGAGGGGGAGTGTATCCGAGACCCAAGAACGGCCATGTTCCGAGTGAAATCTCTGATTGGGGAGCCGTTTACTCGCGGCTGGGCCCTCCCGCCCAGTGTCAAGGTCCTCCCTAGTGTCGCTGACGGTGGCCACTCGAGCGTCGACGTCATCAAACACCCAACAAGTCGCGGCTCATACTGTCGCCCTCACTCTTCAGGTCCACGGTAACTTGGAAAGTCGCGCGGCGACCCCCATCAAGCTCAGAACGGCAAACCTCCACGACATTGCTGGTGTTCTCCACCATCCATGACGGCCATGCCTTGGCGAACTGCGCTGGCAAAGCGAAGCGTCCATGAGTTGCGATCGACTTCGGCAATTGCCTGACCTGAGGCGCGCGGGGACGTCCAAGTTAACGTTCTCGCCACGATGGTCATCCTGGCTGGCGGCTGGCCGCTCACGATGTCAGTCCGCACGGCTGAGGGTGAGACGACGCGCAATAAGTAGATGGCGAACCTGGCCAAAATTCGCCCCGATCCGAAAATGCTGCGGCAATCCATATTCGATGGCTGGCGCCAAGCTGCGCCTGCCTTCTCGGGCGGTCTGCTTCGTTAAATCAAAGCGCATTCTCGCATCTGCCTTGCTCGTGCACTCGGCGAACGCATCCGCCACGTTCTTGCGCGTGCCCACTTTCGCTCCCTTAGAAGCTCCTCTCCTCACTTTCCCCCCTGCAACCATTACTGACAGATTTCGATGTACCTCGCTTTGCCGAACCCTCGTCTGCTAGCGATGGCGATCGTAGCCGCGGCGTCGCTCTCGATGGCACTGCCTTACTCGATGTCGAAATCTGTCAACGCCGACTGCACATGTAAACCTAATCCGACTTGCGCTCCAGCTGCAATCCCGCGAAACTCCGCTTCCCCCGAAGATGAGGCAATCGCGCTCCGGGCCTTGCTGCAGGACTCAAACACATTCGACCCCCACATCACTACACCTCCACTAGTGGACTTCCACGTTCTCGTCCACCCTGCGCGAGCAGCATCGGCCCATGCAACAAGTTCACCAGGCTGGTCCTGCCACTGGCAAAGGTGGCCCGACCTGTCATGGGTCTAAGCCACTTCTCCAATGTACCCAGACCCCTCTAGGATCCCACAATGGGCTTTGCCATGTCCCTAGAGAACTCCTGAACGGAGACCTAGATGTCGGACCGGTCCTGGGCTAGGTATTTGGCAGTTGCCGTTCAGGCCTGGAACTGCTTGGTCATCTATGGTGCTGCGTCCTCCTTGTGCTCCTCATTCATGAGTAACTTCTCCCCCGGCACTTCTGACTTCACCTTATCGCCCTCCAATTCTTACTCCTCGGCGCTTCTTTCGCCCACCCCACTTTTCCTTTACGGGCCCCGATCGCCTTCGCGCCCACTCCTCTCGGGGGCCCAGCCCCCCCCGCCCAATCCCCCGCTTTTTCTTCGAGCTCCCCCTTTGTTTTTTCGAGCCAAATCGCATCTTCATCGCGCGCTGTCAGAGCAAGGCCACCCACATGAGCGGTAAACCAGGTCCTCCGTGTTCTGCGTTTCCTGGCGCGCCGTGATGCCACGCCGCTGGTTAATCCCAACTGCGAGCGAACCCCCCATGCAAGAACATTGCAAATTGCTGGCGGCGTCTCTGGCGCCGCACATGGACTCGCGCAACCGGCCGCGCGCGCCCCGTTCATGATCCTGCCCGGGCAGAGTAGCGAATGGCAAATTTCTCGCTGGCGCGGAGAAGCGCGATCTCTTGACATCCGAGAATCTCCGCTCGATCATTTCCCCCGCTAGCTTCTGTCGCGAATGTGTTGAATCCGAATCCATCGGCAGCTGCTGCGACTAGAAAAAAACGCCATGGCCTCTAGAGGGAGGTCGAAGCACGTCCGACGTCCCGACGGGCCAAACGCGCGCTGAATATCTGGTGACATCTGTGGAGTACTCCTACGTCGCGCGCGCGGCTGCCCCCGGGGGCCCCCATGCGAGAAGCGCACCGTGCCAATCCCGCACGGCCCCCGCCACGGATGCCGGAACTCCTGTGGGCTGCCTGCAGGGCCTGCGAGAGCGTCTCGGGAGGCCACGAAGGCGGCCTAGGCCCGAAGTCACCAGAAGCCGTTCCAAGACGCCCATGACAGCCACCAGACGGCCTCAACCACCTCCAAGACGCCCGAAGATGCCTCCACGACCATTCCCAAGAAGCCCCCCTTAGACAAAATTGAATGATTCTCCAGTAGTTGTCGAAGATCTCCAACGCAATCCACTGTTCGGCCGCCGACCCTCTAAGACGGCCCAAGAAACAAGCCCAGAGATCGTTCCAAGACACCCCATTATGCCTCCAAGAGAATTCCAAAAGACCCACGGGAACTCCAGGACGGCCCAAGTGTCTCCGCAGACGGCGCTGGAGAGCCCCAAGCCACCATCTGGAACACCCCTCGATGGGGGGCCCAGCGAACGCGTCGAGCGCGCGGCCTCAAGAGGCGCCCAGGCTGCCCCGAGCGACCCCTGAAGGCACCCCAAGAAGGTCCAAGAGGCCCCCAAGAGGCGCCAAGAAAGCCCAAGGAGGCCCGCAAGGCGCCCACAGAAGGCCCCCGAGAGCCCCTATATCTGCTTCACGGGAGCCACCCGAGAGCCCCCCGAAGAGACGCCAAGAAGCACCCATGAAGACTCTCACCCGCAGCCACAGCAGCGCCGACCAGCCTCGCCGCGCGGCTTAGAGACGCGCGCGAAAACGCAAAAGGATGGCACAATACACGCTGGCGGAATGAGCGAAGCGATTAAAATGCGTTCTTCTCCTTGGAATTGTATTTAACTTGCCCGGCAACCTACTGCGCGTGGTGAGATGGGCTTGCTTCGACCCTTCTGTTCATGTCGATCCAGCGTGTTCCAACGAGACCTTTGTCCGCGTCGCCCAGCGAGCCCCCTCTTCCACCTGCTCATCAACCCCATGCTTCCTAAACTGCTCCATCTCTTCTTTTCTAGCCTTTCACGCCACCTGGCCGTCCGGCTCGTTGACCGCGACGTCATCCTAAGCGAAAATTCGTCCGTTGTTCCGATTGTGGACAATCGGGATGTCATTCATTGCAACGGGCCCTCCAGCCCCGTAGGCTTCACGGGCCTCGCAGGCTCCGGTTACTCTCGACCGTCTCGCACGTCCTCGCCGGAGGCGTTCCCACTCGGGATGGGATATCTCCTCCAACGGCCTTGTGAATAAAATGTGTGCTGATGTTCCTTGGCTTGCCCTTGGTCTGTCAATGTCGCTCGTGCCCGGCAATGGTGCCCAGTGCTCTGTCTTCTACAAGTTGCCCCTGCCAGAGTCTCAGGCAATCCCCCAAACGCACGACGCCCACAGTGGACCGCCAATGCCAGGTAGCACAAGTCGGGGCGCGCCAGAATCATGCCCAGCCAACTCCACCTGGAAGTCTTGACTGATCGCAGCCCAGCTTACTTCGTTAATGCCCGCGCTGTCAGCGCGATCGATCTCAATGTTCACCAGCTCGCCTGACTCGCAACGCAACCCATGCCTGTCATCTGCGTCGGTTGAATAAACCCTTCGAGCGTTACTCAGCAATGCTCGCGGGGGATACCTTCTGATCTCTGGGCCCTGCCTCCCCCGCTCCACTCCGCGCGTCGACTTTAGCCGGCGCGTGTCAGGCACAGCTCCTGGTCGACGCAACTACCGCTGGCCATGACCATCGCGGATGCAGAAGTCTTCCCTTTGAACCTCGTGTCGAAAATCGCCGCAACGCGCGTCGCCTTCGCAAGCATGAACTGCATTTTGCCCGGATAACCTCTGCGCTGGCGTCGTGCTCCAACTCGACGCCGCCTACAAAATATAAAATCAACTTTTCCTGTGAATTGGCGAAACTCCATGGCAAGGGCAAGGCGCTTGATCCCGTGAGCAAGACAAAATTCCAAGGCCCCGCCGAGTTGGTCACGCGCGGTGAACCCCATGGCTAACCCTGGAATGAGCCCCATCTGATCAACCACGCAGGTGAACCCAGCAATAGAGCACGCTTCACTCACATGGGTTTGCACTTCCTATTGGCCTGTGCCGCATGACTGGAGCGCTCGCCTGACTTCGTCAAACTGAGGCATGTCGTCACACTCGGGCCCCAATCGCCAATTCGCTATAGACGTATCTGATGCAAGCGAATGGAATCGCATCTTGGTGTCTTCGTCATCCCCCGACCCGCCATCCTCAAACCGTCAAGTAAACTGCACCCATTGGCCGGTTTACCACCCTCGCCATGCCACATCAGCCGTTTGTCTGGGGGCGCCAACTGCGACGCGGCAAGTGCATGACACGGCGAAGTTGCATCTCCTCTCTACTGGGCTTCACGTCGCAATGGACCTTCCCCCAGCAACTCGGCTTCCTCGCCGGCGAACGCGCCCTCGACATCATCTACCTCACTAGCCCCACTTTCACTGCGCCCACCGTCATTGACGTTGCCCATTCCATCGCTGTCTCCCGGGCTCACGGGCGGCTGACCGCCCGGCGCGATTGATCGACCTCGAGAGTTCCCAGCCTCGTAAAACTTCCAATGCCCACCGGCTCGGCAGACCCCAGAAATGCCACGGCGCCGGCGTTGAATAAGAATGCGCCGTGCACGTCGTGGATAGTCGCCCTCTTGCCGGTGGCTTCGTGCCCCGCGCGACTGCGCGGCTCGCCATCGGCGCCGCAGTGCGTCGCGATCTCGCTGCCCGACTCTACCATGTCATAGGCTGGGCCAAACATCTCCTCTACCTATTCGACCTGAATGGACGTGCTGACCGCTGTTCCACTTTAGCTGCATCCGGCGATGACACCTTGGCCATAGTTGCGCAGGACGGTTCCGTTCGCGGCGTCGCAATGTTTGCTGGCCTCGGACGCGCCGGCGCGCGCCCGCGCTGGTCGGGGCCCACCGCGTGGCGAGGCCCCGGGTCCACGGCAACTCCGATGGTCTCGGTCGTCTCCTTCACTTTTGCCACAGCGTGAGCCTCCCCTGCGACGGTCGACGCCCCTACCAAGCCCACGGCACAAGACCTCTGTAAACAACTGTTCTCGCTCCTCACGATGTCGCCAGACTCGCCTTTCCACGAGTCTTCTCGAATGCATCCGTTCCTGCTCTGGCGCCCCTGGCAAAGCCTCCGCGCGCTGACAGCCTTGATCCCGATTGCATTATTTCTCGCGCGTCTCGGCGCGCCCCGGCCCTCGGGCTCGCGGTCGGCGGGCGGCCTAAGGGCGTCGGCAACCGCGGGCCCCCCCGCGCGGTCGCAATCCTGAGGTTGGCCCATCAATGTGGGTCTTTCACCCTGCGACACTGGTCCTTCGCTGATGTATGGCAATTGTCAGCTATGCGCCCATTGCCTCCACGCGTGCAAAATATTCGCTGGCTGTGTGGAGCAATCCCCCTATCGCAGTAACCGCCCCGTCCGCGCTGCCCCCACTCGCCGCCATACTTCCCTTCGGAGGAATTGCCCACTTCGCCGCCCTCACCCTCCCATCTTTGCCGCGAACTTCGGGCGCGTTGCAGTCCCTCGGTGCATGTCCAATGCCGCTACAATTGTAACACTTGGCATTGCCTTTCCTTTTCCCTTCAGTAGCGGCTTCCGCGCTCTCTGTCTCGGAGTTGCCTCTCCGCCAGCTGCCCTCGCCCCGCCGCCGCAACCTTCCTCGTCGACCCAGCCTTGAACACTCCACCCTGATTGGTCCTGTTCCATGCCGTCAGCGCCGCTGACGCCGCCGACATCCATGGCACCGTTGTTCTTTGTGTCGGCGTCTCCCAGACCTCCCACTTGGCGTAAAGCTTCTGGTGTGTACCCAGGTTGAGCTCATCTGGGGTGCTGTCAAATCCCGGGGGGCCTTCGTCATGCCAGTCTCTGGCGCGGGCCATGATCGCTCGAAGCGCGGTAACCTTGAAAGGCAGCGGCAACGAGCAGACCGTTCCTTACTTCTCAAGGGTTTCCTCTAATGATCACTGCGCCGCACTCCTTCAGATTGAGGCCGGCTCTCGAATGTGCCTCGGCTGTTCTGGACTCATGGCCTGCGACATATTTCGCGCTACGGTAACTCTGGTGACCGCGGAATACGACTTGCAAATACTTTGGTCAGCAAAAGTCCACCACCGTCCGATGATCCCTTGGGCTTGCCGCGCGGACCTGTACCCCCGAATTTCCCATGTAGTAATACATACCACCAATCCTCCTCCGTGAGCTCGGAGTCACCCCTCTCGTCACCAATGTTGCGCAGCTGTATTGGCGTCTCTTGATACCCGAACAACGTGAGGCGCCCATTTCAAATACGCCAAGGGCCATCCGAGCCACCCTCTGAAATAATGCTGCCCATCGTCCCGAGTTTCTTGTTAAGGTTTTTGGTGACCCTACAGTACTCGTGTTTGACCGGATCTGAACTAACTCGTTGAGCATCTTGTCCTTTTTCACTCACGGAAGTTGGTCCCCTAGCCGTGAAACGTCTTAAGGTCCTGGAAGGCCTTGAACCCTCTGGTCGGTTTGCCCCCACAATTGCCGCGCGGGCCTCCATCCTCAATAGCCGCACTGAACTTACATATCTCCTTGAACGCACCAGTTTATACGTCCGTCTGAATCACAGTAGCCTTGGATATCGTAGCAAAGTTGCGCGCCTCTCTCGACTACCGTGTTCCTGTTGGTGCTGCTCAGCAACATGGGGCTCATCTTTTGTTACGCCTGTAAAATCTGGAACGCAAGCCTTTGGGCAACTTCAGGGGTGTTCGTAGATATTCGTTTACTATTGGAGTTGGAGGCCCCCTCGTGCGTGGCTGAAACGCCATGTTGGCGTAGCCGAAATGACCACCATCTGTCGCCATGGTGCACATCTCCATGTACCTGTTCAGGTTTAGTTTAACCCACGCTCCGCGATCGGCAGGTACTCGACTGTAAAAACTGGAAGGTCGCCTGGACCAGGGGTTAACGCACCCGGTCTGGCTGCCGACATTGCAACCGACGCTCCGCGGCCATGCAACATCCGCAAGAAGATTTAGCCCGCGGTGAAATGTTTCAAGTAAACGAACGGGCAAATTGCTAGCTCCGATCCTTAAAGCTTGAGCCAAACACCAATGATATCCGGCAAACTGACCTACACTTGCTTCCCCTGTTGCTGAGCAAATTTAAACACCTCCTCCCCCTCCTTTTCCTCCTCCTCCTTCTCTTCCTCCTGCTCCTTCTTTCCCTCCTCCTCATCATCATTCACCTCCTCCTCCTCCTTCTCCTCCTCCTCCTCCCCTGTTCTGGCGTCGGAACGCGCCGAGTCTAATCAACGCGCCTTGGTCCACGCTTGCGCGATCTTGATCATCCTCCATCCTCTCGGCTCATTCATCATCCTCGACATCCTCCTTTCCCAAGGGCTCCCAACTTCGCGCTTCGCGCTCCGCGAAGCGCGAAGCGCGAATAACTTCGCGCTCTCGCGCCGCCACCCCAAAGGGAGAAAAGGAGGACGAGGAGGAAGGGGAGCAGGAACGAGGACCGCGAAGCGCGAAGCGCGAGTAAGTTCGCGCCCTCGTGGGAGCCCTTGCTTTTCCTCCTCGCCAGATGGTCCTCGGCGTCGCTCGCTCCCACGAGGGGGCCTCGTCCAGCGGCCGGATGGAACACAGCAGGTCAACCCACTGCTCACCTGCCGGGGAGCGAGAAGGAAACAGGGAGGAGGAGGAGGAGGAGGAGGAGGGACGTTTAAGGAGGCGGAGGACGAGGAAGAAGGATGAGGAGGAGAAGCAGCGAGGGGGAGAAGGCGGAGGAAAAAGAAGAGAAGCATGAGGAATTGGGAACAAAACGAAAGGGCAGGCGTGATGCGGAGGAGGAAGATCAGGAATGGGGAGTGGGAAGAGGGGAACAGAAGTGATGCCAGCCGAGAAGGGGGGGCAAAAGAGGGCAATAGGGAAGGAAACGGAAGGAGCTACCGTGAGCCACACGCATCCGGACAGAATGCTAGGCAACTGTGGCCTTATAGAGAACCCAAACCCAAGACGGCCCAGGAGGACCCCAAGACGACTTCCAGGTCCCAAGGGGGGCCCAAGAGGCCCCCAAGAGGGGGCCAAGAGGGGGCCAAGAAAGGGCTAAGAGGGGGCCAAGAGGGACTCAAGAGGCCCCCAAGATGGGCCCAAGAGGGGGCCAAGAAGAAGAAGCACGAACTATCATTTCGAGCCCTCCCTCTACGAGGCGGCCCCCAAGAGACCCCTCAAGAGGCCCCTCAAAAGGCCCCTAAGATGTCCCCGGGAGGCCCCAGGGAGTTCCCGTGACGGTGTCCTCCTACCGATGCCACTCCTGCTTATGCTTCTGCTGCTCCGGCTGTGACCTCTTTGATTGTCGGTGTCCGTAAAATATAATGAATTGCATAATTCGCATAAGTTGTCCTATGATTGTTGTCCTGCGTAGCATTAGCAATATTTGTTACTGCGGTTACACTTTATTCGAACCATTCGATCTGCTATTACTCTATGAGTGCTATGATACTGTTGTTACTAATACTGCTGTTACTACGAGTAATAAGATTCGTACGATTCCTCGGTGTATGAGTTCGAGTGATAATGTGATAACAAGTATTCTTCAAGCTATTACAGCAATGACGACTAATGCTATTATTTGTGCTAGTATTACAATTCGTAGTCTGCCTCTCCATATCATCCTTCTTCTTCTCACTATTATTCTCTCGCTCCCGCTCCTGCTCATGCTCCTCCTCCTCCTGCTCCCCCCCCCCCTCTAAATGATCCTCCTCATCCTTCCCCCCTCTGCCTTCTTGTTTGTCGTCCTCCTCACAACTCTGACGCTGCGAGCAGGGTCGATTAAGCTCCGATGACCTCGAAGCCCCGTGCTCAAGCCATCACTGAGGGCGAGGGTGGAATCTATCTCGTAGGCGCAAGGTAAGCCTGGAAGGAGAAAACAAGCGGGGAACGACGACACGGTGGAAGGTGCGCGCTAAGTCTTGAAGACTTATTCCTCCTCCTCCTCCTCCTCCTCCTCCTCCTCCTCCTCCTCCTCCTCCTCCCGCGTTCCTCAGTCATCCCTTCTCTCTCCTGCTCTCAGTGGCCGAGCCCAGGCCCCACGCCCGCCTTGCACCTCTCTCTCGCCGCGGTCGACGCGGTCGAGGAACGCCGCCACGAGCCTGACGCGTCCGCTCGGGGGGGGGATCCTCATGCTCCGGGTTCTGCTCCTGGTCGCTTCCCCCCTGAGAACGGACGGGAATCCAGAAAACTGGCCCGCGCTGGGGACAGAGCGCCATTCTGAACGACGGCAGCGGAGCCGGGATCCTGAAAGGAGACCCACGCTGCAGTGGGAGCATAGTTTGGAAGAGCCGATCAAGATCGAGCGTGCGTAAAGAAACTATCCTGGCGAAGGACCAAACAATACGCAGGTAAGAATACCGCAAGACAGTTAGGACGAAGGAGAGGATCTCCGTACGGGGCCACGGAGCGTGCGAGGGGTGTGCCGAAATGGGCGTGGAGCCGCATGTGGACGCATCCACAGGGAGGCTTCGGTGGAGCCCCCATAGGGCCACGAAGCGCGTGCAGGGGTGTTCCAGAGTGGGCGCGAAGACAGCATGGGGGCGCACTCACTGGGGGCTTAGTTGGGGTTCCCCGTGGGGCCACGGAACATGTGAGGCGTGCGCCGACATGAGGGAACCGCTGTGGACGCACCCGCTGGGAACTCGGTGGAGCCTCCTACGGGGCCACTCAAACGTGTGAGGGGTAAGCATGGGTTGGGGGACGCGATGTTGTGCAGCCTACGTTGTGCAGCCTATGCGGGGCAATCCATGCGATGCGGCGGCGAGGTGGCGATGGGGCGGCGACTGCGGCAACATACCCGCCAGACCAGCAGACAAGCCCAGACGACGGGCGTCGACGAAGCGGCGACGGGGCGGCAAGACAGCCGCCAGAGCGGCAGACAGGCTCAATCCGTCGAGCAGAAGTAAGAACCCATAAGTGCAAAATCCTGCCGGACTAGTGCCACACGCGGGAGAGGCGCGGGCAAACCCACACATTCTCACGGAGAGAGAGAGGGAGAGAGAGAGAGAGAGACAGAGAGGAGACAATTGGGGAGACATGAATGATTGAGGCAGAAGGTGGGGAGCAATGTGGGAGGGGGGGCGGAAAAGATGATCTGGATGACAAGCGTGGTGAGGTTTCACCAAGTGGGCCTCCACATCTCTCAACCCCATCACCAGGAGCTGTCTGTCGCCACGGCCTCCTGCCCGGGATCCGAATTGTGCATCTGGATGCCACGACTGTAAAACAAATGGTCGCCGCGTTTGTTCAAGACGCCAGATGTACTGGGGGGAAGATGACTCTGCTGCACAACGGGCCTGAGCGGCACCTCCTTCGGCACCGAGAAGCGGCACAACGCCTCGAGCGCGGCCACGAACAGGGGGGTCGGCAAGGGCAGCACCGCCTCGGGGTTGGAGAGCAGATGCTGGAGCACGCTTTCCACCTTGGCGGGGGGAGGGGGGAGGAGGGAGGAAGATGTAGAGGGCAGGGGGGAGGGAAGGGGGAAGAGGAGCTATGGGGGGAAAATGGAGTAGGGAGTTGAAGGAGGAGGGGAGCGGATGTGGGCGTCCAGACTAGAACTTCATGTGTCTACGGCAACAGAAACCAAGAACATCAAGGCTCGAACCTGAACCGCCCCCCGTCCGTGCAACTATCGCGCAGGCTAAGCGCTGATGCCAAGAGGTGTGTGTCACATGCATATTCTAAAAGCAATAGGTGGCCCACTGCTCATAACGACTCGCCCTCCATCCGTGTCATGTTGCGCATACTTACAGTGCACTGTTTCCCCCGGGGCCGTGGGCGACCCGAGAAGGAGGAGGAGGTGGAGGAGGTGGAGGGGGAGGAGGAGATGGAGGAGGGGGAGGGGGAGGAGGAGATGGAGGAAGAGGAGGAGGAGGAGGAGGAGGAGGAGGAGCGTCGTGAGATATGATTGTGCAGTAGCGAGGGTTCCTTGTTGAAGCGGATGGTGCACCCCGTCACCGTAGCCGTTGACACTGGCGACGACGAAAGCGACGGCCACAGTTTTTCACCCAGGTAACCGCTGCAAGCATTCCTCGCATCGCTCCAGCGAAAGCCACACTCTGACAGCCACGTGTGTTCCACCCCTGTCACCCTTACAATACATCGAGGCGCATGTACACGGCAAACACGCGCACAGCCTTGAAAGTAATTCGCCTCCGATCCGTGGAAGTGACTGCGAACCGCTGCAAACGTTGGAACAGGATCCGCAAGGCGCCAAAGAAATACTCGCAATTCAAAACCCACCCGCACTCTATCCGTGCAGCTGCTGGCCACGTAAAAAAATGCTGCACGCAGACATGATGTCAGCGCGCGGGCACCAGCCAGAGTGCTCCAGCATTCCCGATGAGCAGGCTAAGCGATGCAACCGACAGGACACCAACCCGACCACAGGGCGCCGCACTACCTACCTGAGCACCCCAACCCAACCCGAAGACCCGAACTTCAGGTTGGGGGGGGTACGGGTTCCATACGTGTTTTTCCCATGTTCCCCGAACCCCCCCCCCACTGGAAATGGAGAGCGACTTGAGGCCGTCGGGTCGGGTTGGGGTGCTTTGGTGGGTGGCGGGCACCAAGCATAGAGGGCAAGGCCGGGCACCAACAGCTGGACGCCAGCCTCAGGACACCGGCCATACAGCTCCCACCTCAGGACATCGAGGTGCGGCGGCCGCCTGCGACGGGCAGGGCCAGCTCCTCGCAGCCCCCGTAAGAACCCGTCGGTGAAAGCACTGCTCGGGGCAGCGCGTGGACGCCAGAGGCGAAGCGACCAGTCTGCCCTTTGCGCACGCCTGGGGGTGCGCCGAGGAAGATAAGATGGTGGGCAGGGGAGGAGAGCTAGAGGGGGAGGCAGCAGGGGTAAGAGACGGCGGGGGGAGGGAGAAGAAGAAACACCAGAAGGAGCTAGCGGGGAGGAGGAGGAGGAGGAGGAGGAGGAGGAGGAGGAGGAGGAGGAGGAGGAGGAGGAGGAGGAGGAGGAGGAGGGGGAGGGGGAGGCCACCGCTTCGGGGTGGCCACGGCACGACCTCCCCACGGTGCCCCGGAGAGCAGCATCCCACGCGGAGAGAGGAGGGATGAGGATGACGACGAGGATGAGGATGAACATGAGCAGGAGGAAGGGGAGGGAAGGAAAGTGAGAGGGATGGGGTTTGGGGGTGTAGAGGGTTCGACTGGGAGAGAAATCTGGGGGGAGGGGGGGGAGGAACGAGTGTTTGCAAAGGGGTGAGAGGGGAGGAGGGACTGGTAGAGGGGGGAAGTTTATTCAGAGGAGGAGGAGGAGGAGGAGGAGGAGGAGGAGGAAGGACAGCAAGAGGGGGACGACGTCGACGAAGAGGACCAGGAGCGGGGTGGGACAAGGGGAAGGCGTTGCAGGATGGCGGGAAGGACGATGATGACGACGAGGCGTGAGGGAGGGTCGGCAGGGGAGGCAACGTGAGCCGCATCATAGACTATGCTGCGAAGCCAAACACGGCAAGTGCAAACGCAGAAGAGGCGATTGAAGCAGAGACGTGTACATAAGCACAGGCGGGGGCAAACCGCTACGATACCGATACTGGCCCGAAGGTAGGAGCAAATCCAGTCCGATGCATACTCGGAGGCACACGTCGTTCATTTCTAATCGTGCTCATGTCTAATTGCGCTCGTTTTGATTTGTTCCTGGCACCCTAGTGGCCAGGAAGAGGCCCAGGATAGAACACTTAGAAATGAAAGGATCTTGACCCCCCAAAAAATCAAATAACTTTCGAAGAATTAGAACTGAGACATGTGTAGTGGAAAAATTGGCGAGGAGACGAACACGAAGGCAGCGATAGAGGCAGAGGCAGGCAGGCCCGCCTCGTGCTGGTGCCACAGGTCCATGATGCGGCCTCGGAAGCACCCCTCCGATACAGGACGACCCAGGACCCGATCTCGGCCTCGATCCAGCCAGCTCGATCCGTCACGAATCGCGAAGCGCCCACTTGACGGGAAGCCCGACGGCGAGAAGGGATGGGGGAGCGGAAGGAGGAGGTGAGGAGGAGTAGGAGGAGGAAGAGCGGAGGGATGAGGAGGAGGAGGCGCAGCAGTTGGAAGAGCTGCAGGAGGATGAAGAGGAAGGTACAATGAGGGAGGATGATGAGAGGGAGGGGGAGAAGGAGGACGAGGATGAGGACTGAGAGGAAATGGAGTGACGGAAGGAGGAGGGAGGGACGACGGAAGGAAAGATAACGAGGAGGAGGAGGAGGAGGGGGAGGAGGAGGAGGAGGAGTGAGATAAAGAAGAGTAAGAGGGGGAAGAGAGGGAGAGAGGGAGGGAGGAAGGGAGAGAGGGAGGAAGGGAGGGAGCAGGGAGGAGGAGGAGGAGGAGAGGACGAGGAGGAGGAGGAGGAGGAGGCGAAGATGCACGAATGAGAGCACCGCTGCGTGAAGGCGGCTTGGGGCTCCCGGACGCGACGCGGACGGCGTCGGCTGCCCGGCTAGCCAGCACGGTCGCCGTCTTGCCCACGGAGGCCCGGGTCACTGGCGCGACCTCCCTCGATGACCTGACCACCCCGGCGCCTCTGCTGGCGGCGCGGCTGGAGGGGCTCGCAGCGACGCTCGCCCAGGAGGGGCCGCAGACACACGACGAGGCGAGGCTGGGGCTAATGCAGCAGCGGCGGCACCTGCATTGCAGCTGCTCTGCGGGCACGCGCTGGCGGAGAATGCGCGGGACGCGCTGCTGGACGAGCTCCCGCCTCCCTTGCGGGCCCTGCTGCGCGCGGCGGGCGGGCCCGGGGCCGGCGCCTGGCTGCTCCCTGCGGAGGAGGGCGAAGAGTGGATGCGCGACGACGAGTTCGCCGCGGCGGTCCACCTCCGGCTGGCGCTGCCCCCTGCACCTGCCGCCAGCGTGCGCGGCCTGCGTCCCCGCGGGCGCGTCCGCGGCGCAGGCGCAGCACGACCCCCTGCCCACGCACGCGGTCTGCTGTCCCAGGGACCCAGGTCACGTGGGACAGCACGATCGCGTCCAACTCGCGTGGGCCCCCGTGCGCGAAGACGCGCTCGGGGTCCCGCCGCAGCTGGAGCAGGTGGTCCCCGAGCGGGCTACGCCCGACGGGCGGGAGGCGCGGCCCGACCTGGTCCGCGCCCTCGCGGGACGGCGGGCTCGCCCTCGCGCTGCAGCCCACCACTGGGCATCGCTCGGACGTCCATTCCCTGTGCTTTTTTCGGTTTCGTGCGTGGCTTTTTCGCCAAATGATCAAGGATGCTCCTCGATGGTCCTCGCCGAAGGAAAAATGCACAAGTCCGAGCGATGCCCAGACCAAACGGACCCGCTATCCCCCACCCCGAACCCGTGCCGCTGGCATCAGAGAGCGGCAACCGCACGGGGCCGTCCGCACTGGCGCTGCTTCGCGCGCTTCACGCGCCGCTGCCACCAGACGAGGAGGTCGTGGCGGTGCGGCGCGCGCGCGCAGGCGCGTCGCCACGGCGCTCCAGCGCGCGCAGGCCCAGACCGTCCTGCGCGCGGCGCTGGCGGGCGCGGGCGCGTTTGGCTGCCGACATCTTTGAAGGGGCCCCAGGACACACAAATAAATACACACAAATAAACGGATTCCCCATGATCTTTTCCCATATTTTCTGGGTTTCTGTCTTCCCCCCCCCACATCCCATATTTTCCCATATTTTCCCGGGGATCGACGATTGACTGTGTCTGTGTGGTTTTTCCCCTCCTGAATCTTGGAGGGGACAGCGACGGCACGCGGCGCGGGGCAGAGGCGACGGCCACGCGGGGCGGCAGGCACGCAGGGGGCCGCCGCGCCCGCGGCGGGGCAGACGCGGCATCGGCGCTGGGGGCCGCCGCCGGCGAGCGGCGCCGGGCTCCGCGGCCTCCGCGGCGCCCCGCTGGGCGCGCCCGGCGGCTCCTGCGGCCCTGCGGGGGCGGCCCCGGCAGCGTGCCGCAGCGACTCCGCCTCGCCGCGCCCGCGGCCCCCGGGGCCCGGGGCGGCCCCGGCCCGCCCAGACCGAGGCGTCGCGGAGCGTTCCGCGGTGCCCCCACCTGCGGCGCCCACGGCCACCTCGGCGGCGGCGTGGCGCTCCACGTTCGGTGGCAGCTCATGGGAGCCTCCCGTGCCCTCTTGTCGGCTCCCGCGAATCGACGCTAGCCGACGCTAGATCGACGCTCATCGTCGCTAAAGCGACGCGAATCGACGCCAGATGGGCGCTGCCCCATCCGCTCCAAGACGCTCCTCGACGCCGGCCGACGCCGAAGACAAAACCCTACGAGGGCACACATGGCCCCCACGATGTGCTAACTAACGAGGCCCCACGGCTTCCCTTATACGCCGATCTGAGCAACGCTGCGAAACCGAGGGCGAGCAGGGCCTGCCAGCGGATAATATCAAAACAAGGATGCCACCACACAGTGTCTTTGGGATGTGTGGCCCGAATTGAGGCTAACAATTGAGCAGAATGCCAATCCAGCCGGCGGCGCTCTTCTTCCGACCGAAGGGCGGGCCGACAAAGAAACGCTTCCCTTGTACGCCGCTCTGAGAGGCCCTGGGCTGACCCCCGCCTCCTCGGGGGACGGACGCCGCTGAGGGGGGCACCGCTCCTGGGTGAAAGGGGGGGGGCGCGCCGGCCCCCGATCAACATGCGCGGGCGGCTGTGTCCGCGGCGGGAGGGAGGTAGGGAGGGAGGGAGGGATAGAGCAGGGAGGAGGAGGAGGAGGAGGAGGAGGAGGAGGCGAACATGGTCGAGTGAGAATACCCTGAGACGAAGATGGACGAGGACGAGGAGGAGGAGGAGGAGGAAGAGGAGGAAGAGGAGGAGGAGGAGGCGAAGGTTGACGAGAAGATGCATGAGCAGGAAAGGTAGCGGAGGGGAAGGAGGATGGTGCACGAGTGCGCAGAGGATGGGCGACGGTTGGAGCGGCGGAGGATCTTCCGCCGCCGCACGTCAGCGAGAGCGCAAGCGCTCTCCTTCCACCAGCCTCGACGGATCTTCCGCCAGCTCCTGCCGAGGCCACAGGGAGGAGGGCCGGATGAAGCGGCAGGGGGTAATGTAGATGGCGCGGCACAGAGAGATCAGGCGGAGGAGGAGTAAGAGGATGCGGAGGAGGATGAGGAGCATGAAGAGACGCCATCCCGTCGGGCCCCACAATGAGTTCCTTTCGAGAGCGACTCCTCTGGACCTCGACGGCGCCATCGAGAGATCGATCCTCTGAGGCTCCGACACAGCCGCAGTAGGAGAAAGTGCGACCTCGGCAATGGCACCGGTCAGGAGGCGATCAGCAGCAGCAGCAGCAGGAAGAGGACAGAGTACGAGGGAGAGGCGGAGGAGTAACAGGAGGAGGAAGGAGGAGGATGGAGGAATCCGCCGACCCTGTGCTCCAACCTCCACCTCCACGCAACTCCTCCCTCCTCCTCCCTCCTCCTCCTCCTCCTCCTCCTCCTCCTCCTCCTCCTCCTTCTCCTCCTCCCTCCTCCTCCCTCCTCTTCCTCCTCCTCCTCCTCCTCGCACCGGCCGTCAGGCCTTCGCAATAGAAGAAAAAGGAGGAGGAATGTAGATGAGAAGCAGCAGCAGTAGCCTCTGCAGCAGCAAGGCGAGGATCGCACGTATCTTGCAGACAAGATCCGAGCTCCATCTAGGTTGATCATCTAGGGCACGACTGGGAACACATTCTCATAGACGTGCACCTATACGTTGTGCAACTATATATAGACTAGAACCACGCGCGCGCTTCGCGCGCGCTTAGGTTCTAGCTAGGAGGCGAGCTTGAGTCAACGAAAGTCGCAGGGAAGGGGGCAGGGGGAAGAAGGCCAGAGAGCGCTGAAGGATACAAATACTGGAACCCTCTTGTGATTTTGTGGGGGGCCTCGTCCGGCCGCTCGCTGGGAGTTTGACGTAGCTTCTCGGGAGCCTCTGAACCTGTCGGGGGCCTCCTGGAAGCAGGTTCGAAGCATTTTGGGGGCCGATTTGGGGCTTCTCGGGGCCTCCTTTGGGCCTCTTGGGGGTCTCCTGGGGCCTCTTGAGGGGCCTCCTTGGGGCCTCCTGGCGGCCTCTTGGGGCGGAAGGCTCGAGCTTGCGGTTCGTGGTCCCCCTCTGGGCCCCCTCTTGGGCCCGTCTTGGGGCCCTCTTGGGCCATCTTGGGCGCCTCTTGGGCCGTCTTGGGGCCCTCTTGGGCTGTCCTGGGGCCCTCTTGGAAGCTTCTTGGGCCGTCTTGGGGCGGTCTTGGGCCTCTTGGGCCGTCTTGGACGCGGTGAAAGCCCAAGAGGCGAACATGCGAAAAATATACGTTTTCCCATAGGAATGGCACGATTTTTGCTTCTTGGGCCTCTCTTGGGCTGCCTCTCGGAGCGTCTTGGAGGCTTCTGGGACCTTCTTGGTGTCATGACAGGCGTCTTGGAAGGCATCTGGAGCCATCGGAACGCGTTCCGAAGCCGCCTGCGAACGATCTTGGACGGCGTCCGGCGGTCCGACGAGCCTCCGGGCCCCCCGGGGCCCACATTTGTGGTCGGGGTCCCGGCCCCGGGCCCCCGGACCCGGTGCGCCGTTATATGTATATGTAAGTGTATATATATATAATATATATATATAATATATATATATTACAATATATATATATTATATATATATATATATACATATACGTATATATACACATTATCCAGCGTGGAACCCCAGCAGTGTATCCTAACATACGTGGTGCAGCATACGCGGTGCAATCGACATAATGCGAGATGTGTTGTACAATCTACGTGATGCAATGTATGAGGTGCAATATAGGTGGTGCAACATATGTATGTGGTGTAATCTATGTGGTGCATACTATGTGGTGCAGTCTACGTGGAGCTAAATACGTGGTGGAGCGTGCGTCGTGCAATCTATGTGATGCAATCCATGTGGTGCAATCG